AATGAGGTCTCAGTCTAATTTTTTGTTCCTGATCACCTGTGTCGCCTTCCTGTGTACAAGCCACACACCACTGCCGAGGCTGGACCCCGGCACTCCACACCTGTATGTTCACGAAATAGGATCACTAAAGGTGGCTTACAGCCCAGGGTGGAGGTGCGTGGGGCTAAGACACTGCTCCGCAGGCTGGGAGCACATGGGAGGCCTGGGTTTGATTTCTGGTCCTGCCTATCCACTGGGCACGGTGGTGTGCACTTGCACCTGTAGTCCTAATGACTCGGGGGCTCAGGTGGGAGGACGATGAGACCAAGGCTGGTCTGGGTGACACAGGACACTGGTACTCTGTCTAAAAAAAGCCGGGGTGGCAACTGTGGTCCCAGCTAGGAAGTGGAGGCAGGATGAGTGCAACTTAGCAAGACCCTGACTTTAAGGAAGAAAACAGAAAGGTAGCGGACAAGTGGGCCGACCACATATCCCGAGCTACCCAGGCCAGCCCCAGTGTCTGCCTGCTCAGTGTCATTAATGATGTCCTCCTTGATCCCTGAAGGCATTCCAGTTTGAACAAAGACCGTATGACCACCTGGTCCTGAACTCCTCCATGGCCCTGTCACTACCATTCTGACCTTCAGCTATACACTGGAGACCTACAGAACAATTTTCAGCCCTGCAAACATGCCGTACCTTTCTGCCTCTGGATCTCTGCAGCTACCTTTCCTCTTTCGTCATGGGACAAATCCTACTCATCTGTCAGGCCCCAGCTTAGATTTCACTTGTAAACTCTGAGATCGGGTGTGGGTCTCCCCTTCCTCAGGAAGAATGCTCTGCTTCCCTGCCGCTGGGTGTCCACGTCTGTTTCTCCAAACCGTTTCTCCTCTAGTTTGGTCACCATGTTCCCTGTCATAGCAGTCACACGCGAACTAGCTACACGGTGAATTATTAACCTATCTACCCCACAGCCGTGACCAAGACGTAACAGGCACGTAGATGGCTCAGCCAACAAATTCACTGCCATGTCCAGCTTCAAACCAGTCCATCTTAACTGGTTCATCTTCAAAGTCAAGAGAGTGCAGTTTTCTTGAGATGAAAAACCTCATTTGGTCTAGGTTTACTGACCCAGTGAAGTGACCCCAAAGCCAATACTCAAACAGGCAATTAAATAGCTCTGACATTTATAAACTACACTTTTATTTTGCAAAATACCAATGCTTGGCTTACGAACTTTTTCTAAACCCTAATTATACTTTTTATAAATCTCTATCACGGTTTGGAGGAAATATTTTCCCCAGCATCCTCTCCTTTTCTGCTTAAAGATCAGTGCCAGTTGTAAAAGTTCGCACTCTCATGGGATCCTATGTAACTGCTGACGCTGGAACCAGACTGAAGCTGGGTGGCCCATACGTATTCATTTTATCAACAACTATTAATATATAACCGGCAGTTACTGGGGCCAGGCACTGTTCTGGGCGAACACAGAGGGGAGTTTAGAATCATTTGTTTTTTCAGTAGGAGGAGACAGCTAGCCGATACACAACGCAAAAACAATTGAAGGAGAAACAGGTGATGTGACTCGGTAACAGACTAGATGGGGTGGAGGAGGCCGGCCTCCGAGCTCAGACCTGCAGGGAGAGGGAGCGAGCTGCCTGAAGAACAAGGACAGGAGGGTGAGGGCTGAACGTGGCAGGACGGAACAGCAAGGGTCAGGCCCAGATAAAGGGCTGTACAATGTCAAGTGTAAAGACACCAACCAGTAACACAAAGGCATGTTCACAAAAACATTTTTAAATGAACACCTTATTTTGAGCAGGGCTTCCCTCCTTTTTCTATGCAAATAAACTAACATTCAGAGGAAAAGGGAGTGTTTTTTACATAACCTATGAGTAAGACATACTGAAGAGGTACAGGAGTGAAGTGCTGCTACAGCCAGAACAGGAGCTGTGTAATACCCGACGTAGGCGCCCACCCTCCACCCAGGCCGGTGGAAATTACTCATCGCTCAGTAGGGGTACTCGCCACCTCAGGCCTCCTCAGCAGAGCCCTCTCAGCAGCTTGCTACCTCTGCCCCGGAAGTTCATCACCTAAATGGACTAACAATTTGTTTTGTTAAATCTAAATTTAGATGTATTCATTCTTTCTGTGAGAGAGAGAAGGGTGCACCCCCTATAACAGGATCTTCATGCCATGATCAGGCCCCAGTCTTGGCCAGCCATGTACAGGAAGCCCCAGGACACAAACCCGGACCTTCTCAGCACGGCAGTGTGGAGTTACTGCTGCACCACTTCCTGATCCCCGAAAAAGTCTTTTTCTTCAGCTAGAAAAGTCCTAAAGAACATATGTAAATAACTTTGGATATTCCAGTGTTAGATTTTAAGCTTTCCTGATACTAAAATTCAGGAAAATTTAGCTTAACCCTTTTTAAGTTTAAAAAATATATTTACTCATGATAGACAGCACAGGTATGAAACACACGAGAATGGGGATGTAGGCGGAGGGAGAGAGAGACGCCTCCTTCTATGGTCACACCGTGATCTCCTCGCCCTGGCCCTCTAGCTCACCTGCATTTTCAGGTCAACTGGACGGCAGATCCAGGCACGGCCAGCCATGTGGCTCCTGGCACCGCAGAGCAGACACTGCCACCTGCACCACCACGGTACTAACACACTCTCTGGGTTCTATGAAAACATTACCCTGGATGTAGAAATAATTACGGAAAAGCTTTTCTTAATAACTCAGGGTCATCATTACCATGAATGACTGTTAAGGGAAAAGACACTGAATACTTGTTTTCTAGGCCTCAGCTCTCACACACGGAAAA